CCACTCACCTCAGCCTCCCAAAGGTGCGGGATTACAGGCTGAGCCACCGAGCCCGGTGGTATACTTTTTTAATTGTAAATTTAAAATTGTTGATGGTGGTGCTTTTCTGAAATACTGAGCTCCGGGTTGGTGGTCGTCAGCCTTGATACAACTGTTTGGGAACTGGAAAAAGGCCACCTTCTGGGTGCTCTCTGTGGGCTGATGCAGCACTTTTTTAACAGGGCATGGTAAGTGGAAGGTACCACTGAGCAAAAGATGTTAGTGGAAGGGGAGTTTGTGTATGGAGGACTCAGCATTGCAGGTCCCAGTGCTTGCTGAGTAGGACTTGTGCTAGATTCCAGCCAATGCACAGCCACATGCAACAGCCCTGAGTCTGCTATGCAAAAGGAAGCTGATCCCCTTGCTAAAAAGGGTATAGGAATTGGAGACATTTAACTAGATTTTATATTAGCCATTTTAAAATTCAAAAGAGGTAAAGAGCTTGTGTCTATGTTGGCTCAAGTTATTTAGCAAATGGGGAGCTAAACAAAACTTTGCGGCAATTCCTAGCCACCAAGTCATTATAGAATTCAGTTCCCTCTAAGAATGGACCAGGATGCCTACCACTGAGTCGTTTTGTGTCAAGGTAGATACTTCTGATCTCTCGGGAAAACGAGGAGTGGGAAAACTTGAAGATGTTTGATAGCCAAAGAAAAAAATAACGTGTATACCATTTATGAAAATTCATATAGGTAGAAAGGAAGAAAAAGAGCTTCTACTTCTGTTTGGTAAATTTATGCAGTCACACATTATGAAGATGCTATCTGCTTCTTCTTGCCTTGATCAGATTTCCTTGATAATGTTGAAAGTGAACTCATTACCTTTCCCCTCACCCTCCAATTCTCTAAGTTTAGCTCTGAGTCCCTACCTAGCAGAATGCAATTCATTCTCTGCCCTCACCATCTGCACAGAAGTCTCACACTTAAATTCTGCAGATGGTTGGTAACCTGGTAGACAGAGATGCTTTGGCTGGAAGGGCCATGTTCTTACATTAAATGCACCTAGAGATGATCAAAACAGTTCTTAATGATTGCATGGAGACACCAAGCCCTTGTACACATCACCAGAGCCAAGAGCAGGCTTCACAATTAACCTTTTTTGTGCCAGATTATTGGCAGTGAGAGCATCTGTTACTGCCAAATTTCTGAAGCCTAAACTTGTTTGCGTAGTGAATCATAGAATTATAGAAGTGAGATGTGAAAAAGATTTGCAGAGGCACTCCTCCATACCTTTCCTGGTATATCCTGTGACACTGGTTACTTTATTCAATAATAAGTCATGTCCCAGTGTTTTAGTCAGTTAAAAGCCATTTCTCCAGTCGGCCATCTTTCTTTCAACACAGGTGCTGTGCAATAATGTTCATATGACACTTCACCTTTGGGCTATTTCCACCACTCCTCACCTGTCTCTCCCATAGCTACAACTATCTTTATTGCCTTATTGTTAACAAATTCAAGGGTGGTAGAGGCTAGGAAGATCATAGTGGGAAGAGATGAAACACAGAGAAGCAATGTCTGGCCTCCTGTGAGACCAGGAACTGAAGATCATGCATAGAAATGTTAAGATCAATTGGCTGCTGGACTAGCTCCGTTCCTTCCTTTTTTTTCTAGACAGCAAACTTGTCAGAAGAACTGAAGAAGAAGCAAGACACCATTGCCCACTTGGAAAGGATGAGAAAGAATATGGAACAGACAATTAAAGACTTACAGGAAAGGCTGGATGAAGCTGAACAGAGTGCCCTTATGGGGAGTAGAAAGCAAATCCAGAAACGAGAATCCAGGGTAGGAGTTTGCCTGGTGATCACAAGAGGTTGGCCATTCCCACTCCGAGTCCCTGTTGTCCTAGAATATCAGGTGGGATCTTCCTCAGCTCCCTTATCACTTTCACTTTTAACACCTTCAGATCTTTTAGTGTGTCAGATCTCAATATATGCATTCATTCTTGTTTGTCTTTGGGCCGCCATTAGGACTTTCCCTGCACTGGATAAGATCGGTCTTTCCCCCTACTGCTAAGTGAGAATGAATCTCCTCACACTCACCGCACCAGAGCTAGGCTCCCCTCACCAGGAATACCTATTGTTTTCCAGACACACCCTTGCAGATGCCTGTTTTCTGACAGCCAGAGAAAGGAGAGAGAAGACCACTAAATCAATGATCGAGAAAGATTCAGTGAAGACATAGTGAGGGCTGACAGAAATGATGCAGTATCTGCCTTCGGGGAGCTTGAAAACAAGAAGTAACCTATCTTGAAAATAAGATTTTTAAATTATTGAATCAATTTCAATGACTGTGTACAGAGCATATGATACATGCAACAAGAATGGAAAGAACATTCAACTGGGATTTGATTGATCAAAGGGCCGCTGAAAAATAAGTATCAGCCGGGGGCTGTAATCCCAGAGCTTTGGGAGGCCGAGGTGAGTGGATTGCCTGAGCCCGCGGGTTCGAGACCCGCCTGGGCAACTTGGCGAGACCTCATCTCTACAATAAATCAAAAATTAGCTGGACGTGGTAGCACACGCCTATAGTTCCAGCTACTTGGAAGGCTGAGGCAGAAGGATCGCCGGAGCCCAGCAGGTCGAGGCTGCGGTGGCCAGGAGCGACCACTGCACTCCAGTTTGGGTGACAGAGTGAGACTCCAGCTCAAAAAAAAGAAAAAAGAAAAATAAGTATCGTCTTTGCACATTTATGGCATATCCATGCGATGGAATACCATGCGTTTCTGGTACATCCTGAACATATAGTTGTGCTGATTAAAAAGAAATGAGAAAGAACTTTAGAATATTGCCTAGAAATCACTCCTAGCAGTATGGTGATAAAAAGGAAGGCAATATATATATTTTTATTCATAAAAGGGAAGGAAATAGGAAGATATGCACACGTTTGCTTATATTTTCTAAATAAAATGGATAAATTTTTAAAAAAAGGAAAGAAAATGTCTATCCATAGGAGGAGAACACAGAGATGAAAGTTAAATCTCTTCTCCTTTTTTCTGAGATAGAGTCTCAGTACTGCTGCCCAGACTGGAGTACAGTGGCATGGATCATGGCTTACCATAGCCTCAACTTCCTGGGCTCAGGTGATCCTTCCTCCTCAGCCTCCTGAGCAGCTGGTACTACAGGTGCATGCCACCATGCCCAGCTAATTTTTTTTTGTAGAGATGAGGTCTCATTATCTTTCCCTGGCTGGTCTTGAACTCCTGAGTTCAAGAAGTCCTCCTACCTTGGCCTCCTAAAGTGCTAGGATTACAGGCATGAACCACCATGACTGGTCAGAAAATTAGATCTTCTGAATGTACCTTATTTAGTTGTTTTGATTGTAAAGTAAGATAAATTATTTCTACGCTTTAAAATTATAAAAAACAAGTTTAAGTCAGAGGGAAAAAAAAACCTCAGCAATTCCTAAAATTTTAACACCAGTGCAAACAAATGAAGCTAACTACATATCAAGTTGGGAGCATAAAACATACACAAAGAAGAATTATTCTCAGTGACCTTTAAACATAGTGTTTTGTCTGTACAATGCTCATGGAATTTATCATCAGGACAAAACGAAAACAAACAGAAAAAAAAAAAAGAAAGAAAACGCATTATAGTTTCAAAATAACAATATTTTATTGCTACTAGCAAAAAATACAAATATAATTGTTTATCCAACAACATATATGAAAACCAAGATTTTTAGTATAAGGGAAAATGCATATACGTATAAAAATTTTAAAAACCTATAATATGCCTTTTTTCTTTAAAAAATATATGATACATAATTCATAAATGATACTTTTTAAACTCAAATTTAAGATTGCAGGATTTTATTTTATTTCCAATTGGTGTTTGTCCACAGTTATGGCCTAGAGCCAATGATAACTCAGTAGCAACGAGCTCTTGAATAACAGATAATAATAAGGAATTACAGTTTTTTTTTTTGTTTTTTTGTTTTTTTTTGAGTTGGAGTCTCACTCTGTCGCCCAGACTGGAGTGCAGTGGCCGCTCCCGGCCACCGCAGCCTCGACCTGCTGGGCTCCGGCGATCCTTCCGCCTCAGCCTTCCAAGTAGCTGGAATTACAGGCATGCGCTACCACGCCCGGCTGATTTTTTGATTTATTGTAGAGATGAGGTCTCGCTGCCCAGGCGGGTCTCGAACCCGCGGGCTCAGGCAATCCACTCACCTCAGCCTCCCAAAGGCGCGGGATTACAGGCTGAGCCACCGGGCCCGGCTGGAATTACAGTTTTAAAACAATCATAATACCATCATTACCTGTTAGAATGACAGTGTTTACAGGTGGAATTATGTGATGATTAGGATTTGCTTTAGTAAAGCAGTTTTTCCCTTTAGGTGTTAATCACTTAAAAAAAACAAAAACCCAAACCTCAACAAGTCCTTAGGAAGTAGAGGGTGCCTGTGTTAGCTCACATCTTGACAGACAGAACTGTGTATTAAGTTCCTATGTGACAGGCATCCAGGAGACTCTGGCGAACAGGCTTCCTCCACCACGAAGTCTCACACCTGCTTCCTTCCTGCCTGCTGCACCCTTCTTGGAAAGAACGACTTGGGGAGGGAAAGAGGTGGGATCAGCTATGCCAAGTGCATTTGTGCCTCAGGACATTGGGTCTCATAGTTTTATTTTTTAAATTTTTGTTATAAAGATATGGGGTACAATTCAGGTTAGGTATACAAACATGGATCAAGCAGGTACCCCTGTTAATGAGGTATGCCTCTACCTCCCCTAGCAGTTTCCCTCAACTGCCAATCCGCCCCCTACCACCAGTTTCCCATTACTGCCAATTGCTTTCTTACAGCATTATAATTGTTCAAGGTCCTCTTATGAGTGAGAACATATAGAACTCTGTTTTTTGTTTTTGTGATAAATCACTGAGTATGGTCGACTCCAAATTCATCCAGGTTGCTATAAAGTCCATATATTTGTCATTCTTTATGGCTGCATAATATTCCATTGTGTATATGTACCACATTTTTTTTTATCCAGTCTAGCTTCGATGGGCAACTTACCTGCACACATGTTTGTTGCAGCTTCACAGTTTTAGAAGCATAGTCAGGGGAGCCTCATGGAGAAGGCAGTGTTTGATTGAAGGGGAAGCCAGGGAAGGAGGCCTGGGTATCTGAGCAAGAAGGAGCAGCCAACACCCTTCCCGCGTCTGCTCCCTTTCCCCTTTCCTGCTTTATTTCTCTCCACAGCACTTAGCACTGTCAAATGCATTCTATATTTTACTTTGTTCTGTCTGTCTGCCTCCCCTCATTAGAATTATGCTTATCCAGGGAAGAGGTTTTTGACTGTTTTGTTGACTTCTGTATTCCTAGCACAGGGTGTGGTTGTAGCAGGCATCTTTGTTGAGTGAATGTTGTGCTAACTCATTTGTGTAACTCTAGAAGGCTACAGGCAGTTCATCAGTAGTATAGCTCCTCCACAAAGCAGGGCCATAGGGCTGTGTGTGTGACATACTTTTGACGTAGACTCAGGGTCTAATTTCTTTGGAGTTAGAGCTGGATATGAAGAAAGAATCTTAGGAGTAGGCAGCATTTTGGCTGAACACTGACAGTGTGCTACATGTAGGTTACACTCTTTTTATACTTAAATGCATTTATACATACACACTCCTGTGGGTATGGTTTTATAATCTAAGATGAGAAACTGATGACTTCTGCGTGAATTAGCCCTTCATATCCTTCAGAGCCTAAACAATCATTTCATGAACTCACACAGTATAACCAACTCACTTTTGGCCAGGGAGTTTTTCCTTAGACGTTGCCCTGTTTAGAAAGAGAGCGGGTACATTTCCCCTGGATGATTTTGCTCTATTTCAAATGATGGTGCCAACTGGCAAATAAAATGCCAGCCTTGCTGCCAGCATGTGGTCTGAGGTCACAGTTTGGTTGCAGGTTCGTGAACTGGAAGGTGAACTGGAGGGTGAAATCCGTCGCAATGCAGAGGCCCAGAGGGGTGCCCGCAAACTGGAACGATGCGTCAAAGAGCTGACCTATCAGGTACTCCAGGAAACCATCCCCTGTTTGTCTGGCTGGGCTCTCCCCTGCAGAAACGTGCTCCTTCAAGCCTGAAATGGCCTTCTGGGACTCCTGCCGTTCCCCTCCATCTTTGTTCTCACTCAGCAGTAGACACTGACTCACCCTCCCAGGGCTCCTGCGCTAGCTATTAGTGGTTTGGGTCGATCTTTTTTCAGTGCTCTCAGGAAACAAAATGTGAGTGGCAAGTTGCAATTAGAAGCAAAAAGCTATTTATACCATCTGTATTTTTTCACGCATCGTGTTTGCAGTGCTTTCATAAAGATGCCTTCCTGTGCACGGCAGAGTGAGAACAATGTGTAAATGAAGTGAATGGCAGAGGTTCTGGTAGCTACCCAGAGACACTGACTCAGTTGGAGCAGGAGACATTTCCACTCCTGTTTTCTGCTTACACAAACACCCAAGGCCACTGAGGACTCCGTGGCTGGTGCTGAGGGAAAACAGCAAATACTAAAGAGAGGCCTCTCTAAGGCTTTCTATCTTTAACCTGTGGACAAGGGTCTCAGGCAAATCATTGAAAAGAGGTGAGCAAACTTCTTACAAGGAGTTCATGCATTACTAAAGCCACAGTAGACTCCTTTGTCTACATTTTTCGTTTGTCCTTACTGTTTCTAATGCAGTAGACAATGGCTTCCTGATAGCAGGGGCACTGTATTGTTTTTGTAGGACCTGGCATCCTCCTGTCACACACAAGAGGCACACATATTTCAAGTTAGTGAACATAGATACCAAAAGTCGCTTTCTAGCTCCTTTACACTGTGCACTATAGCTAATTCCAGTGAAAAGACACACTCATTTTAATCACCCATTTGTATAGTTTCTTTGACAGCACTAATGCAAGATCTGCCGGTTCCGACTCTGGTTCCCGAGGCTGAGATGCTAGAGACGTCCATGTCTCCCTGTCTTGCAGCAGGAAAGACGGTGTTGATAAGAAAGCAAAAACACTTCAGATACATCATTGTGGGCTAATTAGGATGAAATGATCTGCTTGCACAGATTTTTTTATTCCTAAGTGGTTCTTTTTTCTAAGATGGACTTGTCTGACACTTCTTTAGACCATGCTAGGTATATCAAAGTCACTGAGGAGTGAGCCCATGGTCTATGTGACTAAGCAAGGAAACACCCTGGGAACATGAAAGATTGCTCGTCTACTCATCTTTTGAGGAGGGTGGGGAAGCCACCCGTGGAGTGACATGCTGCTTGTTAATGATGTCTAGGCTTTTGTTATTTCATTTTCCCACTGATTATTCTTGATTTTCATTGTCCCAAAGCATGCATTCTTGTTCTTTTGTGTCTTACCTCCATGTTTCATTGCAATGCTCTTGGTGATTCTCATGTACTAGTGGGGGGGGTGCACTATAAAATTTCTTTCAAGTGTCTGCACAATGCTTAGCATAGATCCATTCAGTTATATGATAGTTTTCTGAAATCAGATCAGCTAATACTTACCAGGCTAGACCTTGTACATTTAAAGAGACATGAGAGGGCCCTCCACATTCCTTGAACATTTCAATACCTGGTTTTGAAATGTTCAAGATTGACGCTGAGTCAATTCAGTCATCAAAATAACCATCAGGACTCTGAAGCAAGGTGTTTGGTGATAGCTCATTCATAGGTGCCAATTGAAAATGTCATTTTGCAAGAGAAACAAATATGATTTTCTTAGGAAATGTCCTTGGGAAAGATTTTACTACAGTGGAAAAAGAATCAAGTGCGACCTCTCTCTACAACAGTTCCATGGCTGGTCCCCACTGAGCCTTTATCTTCCCCCTTTATGTCCCTGTAGCATTTGGAAACTCATCCTGATTTCTCTCTCCAGTGCCTAGAAAATTGTGCTGTATAGCAGGACACAGATTAGGAACTTTTAATTGTTATAGAAGGTCAAGACAGTTCCTCTGCCCCCCAGTCTCCTCTCACCTGCTCTATTTTACCGTTGGCTGCCTCCTGTGTTCAGGAATCCATGTGTGGATATTAAGTTTGCAAATCTAGTCAAGGATATAGTAGCATGTTTAGGGATAAGAGGACACAGTTTTGTTAAGTTTCTGGTGTCAAGAGGGTTTTCCAGGAATCAGATGCTAGAATGGTATTAGACATTCCAGAGATTCACTGGAGGTAAAACCTGTGAAAGATGAAGAGGTGAGCAAGCAGGTTTGCACAGAGACATGAAAGGACAGGCCGATGGAGGAGGACTGGATGGAAAGAGTCTCCGATAGCAGTACAGCTCCAAGCAAGTGTCCTGTACAAAGATTGCCCTTAAGAACTCCCATGTTGAGCAGAAATGGCCAGACACTAGTAACTCCACTGTGCCTAGTTGTTGCTTGGTCTGCCTAGGAAGTGTGTAGCCTCAGTGCTAGCACTGTGCAGGTCCCAAAGGTACTGCAGTTGGAGGTTATTAGGTAACTGCACTTCTCCCAGCTGAATGTCAAGTTCTTTCCTTGAAGGGAAATCAGAGCAGCACACAATCAGGGCCACCACAGCTACTCAATGCCTTGGAGCTGAGATGTGGACCTAGGCCTAACATCAACGACTTTGCCTTCCCAGTATGAGGAATGCTGTCAGCAGCCACTTCTAGCTTTTTTCAGTTTCATTCTTTGTGGTCTCCATACCATATCTCTCCCCTCAGCACATTGGTTATTAGCAACTAAACTTGTATTGATTTTACTCTTTGAGTCAGTCTCACTCTATTGTCTAGTTTGGAGTGCAGTGGCACAGTCATGGCTCGCCACAGCCTTGACCTCCTGGGCTCAGACAATCCTCCCACCTCAACCTCCTGAGTAGTTGGGACTATAGGTATGTACCACCACACTCCACTATTTTAATAAAATTTTTTTTTTATAGAGATTGGATCTTGCTGTGTTGTCCAGGCTGGTCTCAAACTCCTGGGCTCAAGCAATTCTCCTGCCTTGGCCTCCCAAAGTGTGGGATTATATATGTGAGTCCCCACACCCAGCCCTTGTTGATTTTAGAACTTACTACAAACACATCATGTTATGAATCTTGAAATTTTATAAACCTGAGAGATGGAGGGATGGGCAGAAGGAAACAAAGAAGGGATTTCATATAAAATGTAGACTTGTCTATGTTCCACAAGCAGGTTCTTTTGTCTGTATATCCATCCCTACCTCAGTAGGCTTCACATTGGGGTAATTAATTATCTACTGTTGGATTGTACATTATGGTGGTGGTTGGGGGTATTCCTGGTGATGGGAACAGTGGGCTAAACTTACAGAGGATGGAATAAACAGGGGCGTGGGGAAGTAGGAGAATGTGAGGCTGACTGGAGCTGGAAGTGTTCGTGGAGGCAGCAGAAGGTAAGTGGGGGGGACATGAAAGACACCAAAGGAGTTGATCCTTGATGGAATGGCCAAACAGGAGCCAGCAAACACATTTAAGCAACAGAGGTAGGTATTTATTGATGAAATCAGTTTCTCAGCCCCCAGCAGGTTAAGGTATTTTCTTCTTTTCGGAAGTTCAACTGTTCCAAAGTGGAAGTACTCCAGTTAAGGGGGCGGGACACTGGGGACACACAGAGCCCTGTCTACCGGCCTGCCTTTCCCCTCTTCTCTCCTTAGAATATCAAAGGCTCCACAGAGCACAGTTGAGAAATACCACCCCACCAGAGTCCTTTCTCCAGCCCGAGCCTGGAGAATTGAGGCAATGTGAATGGGTACACTGGGGTTTCCACAACTTGTGGAATTTTCTTCATCATCTCTGCAGATGCCTACACCAGAATTCCAGGAACTTGCCTTTCCTATAGTTCCATGATCTAGAGCCAAGGCTCAGTTAGAAAGTTCAGAAGAGCTGTTTTGATGGGGATGTGGGTGGGTGATTGCATATGTGGCTTTTGTAATAATGCACTTCTTTCTACTGAAAAACCTCAGGCAAGCATAGCACGATTGGGCTGGAAGGGCTGAAGACGAAATTGAACTTCATGGCTTTAGTTTCCATTTCAGTCAAGGATGGTGGAGGGTGGTGGCCGGCCAGGAGGAACGACTCCATTAGTGCTTAGAATTCTGTTTATTGTTAACGTCTTGGAACTTGGTACAAATAGTTAGACCCATTTTTCAGATCATAACTCTCAGATGATGTTTCATCAAGTTTTCTAACCTTTGTTTCTTCACATGAGGTTACCCCCAATGTACACTGTGGGATCCTTCAATTCACCTTTGTATTCATACCTATGTATTTCAGGCAGAGGAAGACAAGAAGAATCTGAGCAGAATGCAGACTCAGGTGGATAAACTTCAGCTGAAGGTGCAAAGTTACAAGCAGCAAGTTGAGGTGGCGGTAAGTGCCTGGAGCAGTTGCAGCCTCATAGATTTCCCAGGCTTGTGGGTTTTTGTTTTTTATTTTTATTTTCTTTTTGAGTCAGGGGTCTCACTCTGTCATCCAGGCTGGAGTGCAGTGACACGATCAGCCTCCTGAGTAGCTGGGACTACAGGTGTGCACCACTATGCCCAGCTAATTAAAAAAAATTTAGAGATGAGGTCTCGCTCTATGTTGCTCAGGCTGATCTCAAACTCCTGGACTCAAGCAATTCTCCCACTTTGGCATTCCAAAGTGCTGGAATTACAGGCATGAGCCACTGTACCTGGCCTTAGCGTTATTTTTGATTAAGAGAGACCTGTGGTCCTAAGCTCTGGGAGCAGCTTGGGGAACAACCAGCTCTGCCTAGAGTCTGCTCATTCTCTGTGTTTGGTTTTTTTTCCCTCAAGTTAGAATTACCTCCCATGGTAGAAATGTGTACTACTTTTCCCTCTACGAAGCCAGAGCTCTTTCCTTTGACTTGGTGGTTATGCCTAAACATGTGTACTACGGGAAATGAGTGAAGTAAATGTGGGATATTACATAGGGATGGTCAATTTTTGGCAGGGTAGTTGTCCTGGGGCCTCTGAACTTAACATAGTCCATAGTACTTTTTTTTGAATGAACCTGGACATGATTGTGGATGAAACCATCATCACTTGAAATGTAACTGCCCTCCTGATTTTGCCATAAAACACAGAAAAAAGGGTCTTTCTATGTCTCTGCTTTTGAAAAGGCCATTCTAATTTAATGGTAGAGGCCTCTGCCATCAGTTTACTGGCAAAGTGGCAGGGTGACAAAGATCACGAACTGGAAATTTGGTATGGGCAAGTAAGCCTCAACTTCCTGGCTTAATATCCATAGCTACCTGGAATGTAATTGATAAGTGCCATATATATTGGTTTATATTATCTCTGGGTAGCTTTATTTCTTCACACTGGATTGATTTAAATAGTTTGGGCTAAAACAATGCTATATCAAATATAATTTTAAAGACAAGTCCCCTCTAACCCAGAGGTAGAATAGGATGTTAAGCCAACTACAAAACAAACAACTGTGGCTATTCTAGCACATATCAATTCTGTGAAAAGCTATGCTACATCCAGTTGATGAAAAGTGCCAACCAGGTCCTGAATTTCCGAGGAACAAAAGTTATAAAAATGGATCTTGTGCCTGCTAGAAAGTCTTAATCCCTATATATCATAACAAAATATGATATTCCATTCAATACTCAGAAGTTTAGATTCTTTTCACATTTTTCGACTTTCTCATGTCAGAGCAGAAAAATTGGACTACATAGGCATGGAGATTTCTTTTTTTATTTTTCTAGGAAACACAAGCCAATCAATATCTTTCCAAGTATAAGAAGAAGCAACATGAGTTGGATGAAGTAAAGGAAAGGGCAGAGGTAGCGGAATCTCAAGTCAATAAACTGAAGATTAAAGTGAAAGAGTTTGGAAAAAAGGTATGGCAGATATTCAACTCTGTCCTAACTTTAAATCATGTTTGTTTAGGGCTCATGCCGTTGCATGGTTTAGTTTAATAAGAAATGTCTTGTTTTTCTCTTTAAATTCTTTTAAAAAACAAGACTAAAAAGGTTCTAATAAAATCTTCCCATATTTACTAGGTTACACTTTTCCAGGTAGAATGAAATGGTAAGCGTCTGAGTGGGATGCACATTGTATTCATGCTTAGCAGATGTTCAATTCCACGGTAACTTGCAGACTCTGAGCTTTGGGGCCTCAATTCATTTGTAAAATAGTAAAGAGTTCATGGAACAAAGATGATTTTAACAAGCACAGATGGATCTCCTTGAAATTCTGAGTGAACTCTTTCCATGGTAGACACATATGTGACTTTTACCATATTAATATGGAGACCAAAGGGGAAGATGTTTGAAATTAAGGCAGTAAAGGAAAACAGATGCTACAGTCCTGCTTTCTGGTTCTCTGTTCTTTATTCCTGATTCTGCCCTTAAAAAAAAAAAAAGATCTTTCTATGTCTCTGTGGGTTTGAAACAACTATTCTGATTTAATGGGAGGCCACTGCCCTAATTTTATTGGCAAGTGGCAGAGTGACAAAGAACACTGAACTGAAAATTTGGTAGGGGCAAGTAACCTAGCTTCCTTATTGAGATTTTTTTCCCAAGAACACACAGTCTTTAAATGATATCTGACTTTGGGAAAAAGGAGTTAAAGGAGACTGAATAATGTAGTGTTGGCTACTCTTTATAGAATGCCTAAAAGCTCTGAGATAGTTCCCAGCACACATAAGCACCATCATTTCATTTTTAAAATCTTGGTGCATCCCTGTCCTCTTTCTTATTTATTATAAATGAATTACTAGTAACCCTGCAAGCTAAGTTGATAGGGTTGCCAATAATACACGTAAATACTACCTTAAGGGAGGTCAGAAGGATCTCTTTTCAAGGAGACACTAAAAATTGGTCATATTGAATATTTTTAGATCCAAATGAGAAGCATGACTCATTGGCAGATTCCAGAAATTTCTTATTGATGCGTGGATAGCAGTCTCAAGGATAAGTCCTATATGGAGAGGGCCAGTTAAGTGGTTTGAACTCTGGCCTCAATTTGCAAAGTGTTAAGGCCCTGGATTTAGGGTCTTCTGTGCAGAGCCTGCCAGCACCCCGTATAATGATTTGTTTAGGGAGGTGCCTCCCATGTGCTGCAATCACACTTAGCTGCAGGAGGTCAAAGGGTCTCCAAAACAGATGCCAGGCATTCGACTTTGTCACAGTTATTTCCGACAAAGAATACAGTGAAGCAGAAATTGCTTTTGAGAGGCCAGAGAGGAGTTGAAAAACTTTCCTTGGCAGTGCAATGACTAATTGTTTCCCATTCACAGAAGGAAAAAAAAAAAGCCTGAACATCCCTCAACTGACATAAGCACAGGAAAACGTTTTCTGATAGAATTGTGTATCGGGGCTGCGGAGCAAATTGGGGATGTGGCTGCAGAGTTTTTTCCCTCGAGGGGTCGGCTGAAGAGGGCGCTGCCTTTGCTGGCAAGGCAAAGCAGGCAGAAAATTGCAAGTGACCGAGCATGCCCTTGGGGTGAATTACCGGTGTCTGCTTTCTATAATGCAGATAATTGCCTCAATTCCCTGCCTCCCTTTGAAGTTAATGAAGAATTGGCTAAGGCCTGCTTACCTCTGGAAAGAACTCAGCTCGGGTCTGGGCATGTGTTCCACTGGTGAAAGTCACAGGAATTTCATAGAACACACATTCTGTTTTTCAGGTTCAAGAAGAATGAGCATTTCCTGCTTTTAAGGACAACAGCTGGAGAAATACAAGGAAGGAGCCATTTCATGGCCCAAAACTTGGGTTGCATTAGAAACAAACGTTTTCAAAAGCATATTTATATGGTGTGAAAAGCAATTTAAACAAGGTGATTAGAAAAATAATACAGGGATTATCATTGCTTCCAAGGTTAATGGGGATTTTTTGATCCTCAAATGCAAGTTAGCTACCTTCTAACTTTTCACATGAAAGATTGAATAGATGCAAGAATCTTTTAAATTCTGATGTTTAAAAATGAATACCCGATCTTTTAAACCAAAACAAAAATCCTAAGCCTCCCAATCAACTACACGAACCCCCTTCTGGGCCAAAGGAAGCCTGAACAACTAAATTTCAGGCCATGACTGGAAAGGAGGTCCGGGCATGCCTTGTGTCGCCCCCTCCCTTTTGGAATTTAGGCGCAATTGACTGGCATTAACAATAAAATAGAATTCCAATTCCAAAACCAAATTCCAACCTGACTCTGCTGTAGCATCACAGGACAGCAGACCCTAAAGAAAATCAAAATATTTTACCCTCAAATATATTTCCTTGATATACTTTGAAATGGCCCTGCAGAGCCATCTCTTGTGGGGGAAATTTGCATCCGTAGAGAATCTCCATCCCTTTCTAGATCTTTCCTAGATCGAGGAGAGATTTAACCAAGAGTCTGACATGTTTTCAGGTTCAAAAAAGAGATATTTACCATTTATTCTCTCTCAAGGCTGCTACTTAAAGGCTGTTTCTACATTGCAGGAACCTTGGCTTCCACAAGCCCTCTTATCTTAACTCAAGCATTTCTACTGACTTCAAACTCTTTAGACAAAGCTTAACTTTTTCGACCAATTGCTAACCAGAAAATCTTTGAATCCACCTATGACTGTAAGCCTTGACCCTTCCCCCCACTTTGAGATGTCCTGGCTTTCCTGGCCAAACCCATGTATGCCATACATGTATCGATTTATGTCTTTGCATGTAACTTCTGTCTCCCTAAAACGTATAAAACCGAGCTGTAACCCAACCACCTTGAGCACACTTCTCAGTACCTCTTGAGACTATACCCCCGGCCATGATTACTCATATTGGTTCAAAATAACCCCCTTAAAATATTTAACAGAGTGGCTTTGTCATCAACACTCTTAATGGGTAGGACTCATAGAAGATGTACTTAGATCAATTATGTTCCATAGGGACTAGGGCATGTTGGTACGTGGTTATTACTGAAACTAGTATATTTTGCTTGATTTATCCCTTCATCCACACATGTATATTTTTAGCAGTAATAGTGGAAGTTGGTAAAATTTTCTCAGCACTGTGATATACATATAGCCAAAGTTAGGCACTTTGAACTTGTAGGTAATACCCTCCTAATCACATACGTCAGCTATACACTGGTACACGTTGTAAATACTAAGGCAACTTCTCACATAAGGCACTTAGTGATAGATAATATGTTGGCTTTGTGCTATGCCAGTTTAGCTAAGCTGGAGGGACAGGTCTATGGATTCCTTTCTCTGCATGGTTCTGGATGGGAGTTGGCTGCAAGAGAAATTGACACCAGATTTGGTAGGCAAAAGTGAAAGAGCAGCTGTTTATTTTATTCCTGTAAGGTCAGTATGATGCTTCAATCATTGTGAAAGCTCCAAAATATGACCCCAGGTGAAAACGGTGAGCTAGCAGAGATCAGTGACAGGTCTGTGGATCCATAGCTCTTTCTTCTCCTGCCAGTCTCCCCCTTTAGCTGTACAAAGTCCTGGTCACCCCCGTGTGCAGCTCCATAGGCACCAGCTTCTCCAGCAGATCACCCATGGCATTGCCGTGGAGGCCATGAGACACAGAGGTGGGTTCCATTTGTTCTTATGAACTCCCCTTCATCTTTGCTCTCCTTCCTGACTGCTGGCACAGCTGACCCACAGGGACTTCAGGCCCAGTACCAGATGCAGAAGAGGAAACCTGGCATAGACTTCACTGGCACCCGCAACTGTGTAAGGCTAAAGCTCTATAATAAATCCTTATTGTCATTCTCAGTGGTTCTGCCTCTCTGATCCAACTGCAACTCATACAGGTAGCTCTAAAAACGCTATCAAAGGTCTCAGGTTCTTCCTAGTCTGGCGTCCTCAATGTATTGTTGACTTTGACCTTTAAACTTGTCCCACTTGTTGTAAGAGGACGATAGGAGTTCTGAGCATTCTCTCCTCACACAACATCCTACCTCTTTTTAAAATCAAGAAACATCTTGCCGGAAGTAGCCCTCTGGGCAATATTCCTATTGATCAGATTTCTTCATCTGTGCTGAGCCAGTCTAGTGGCAAGAGAACTGCAGTTGCCAGGGTTGGCTCAGATGGACAAGGTTGATCCTCCCAGGCCAGTGCCTGGGATTGCAGTGAAGAAAGGGGAGATGAAGTCACTAGATATTAAGGATGATTCTTTGTGTTGGCACGGTGTTGTCTTGGATTTTTTGTACTGGCTGGATATTCTGAAAGAGGCTAGAACCAAAAAAACAACAACAAAATGAACTCTCCATGTCTGTTGTTTAAGTCAGAAAAATCATTTTTATCTTAAATATTTAATGATAGTAGTGATTTTGGGGGGACGTAGCAATTGGTGAGGAGCTTTAAGCTATTGCTTGTATCTATAATGAAAGATTCATGAGACAGTTATAAAATAAGTAGCTATGAAGCCTGAATCTTAATTTTAATCTCCCTGCTTGATGATCCTGAGCTTTTAACAGTAGAAAAAAAATTATCCCATTCCTGGCTCTTATTTTTATTCTGATTAACAGAACACACAAATAATAAAAGGTGTGCAGCAGAAAGGAAGTATATAATCAAACTATAATTTATAAGTTAATGATAAGTTCTCAAGGAACCTATAAGTGGCTGTCAAGATATGGAAGGTCAGCAGTCTGAATCTGGGTAGAAGTATAGTCTGGTTGTCTCCATTTTCTGTGTCCATATGTCTTTCCATTTCTATACAATCCCATGTTTCATACTTCAATCAAAAGAATAAGTACATCGGTGTACCTTTGTACACACTGCCATTTGAGAACGTCTCTTTAAATAACAATAGGAGATGGGAAGAACAGCCACTTATTTAAGCAAGTAGAGCCTGTTTAATTACAGACATTGGGAAGAGCCTAGTTATATATATATGTATATATATATATATATATATATATATATATTGTGTTTTATACTGCAATCCCTCTTGCTGTTTTTTTCTCTATTAAAGTCTTGTGTGATGATATATGCAATCATATGTTGTTTTATACTGCAATCCCTCTTGCTGTTTTTTTCTCTATTAAAGTCTTGTGTGATGATATATGAATCCATCAGAACTTCAAGTACTTTTTTACAGTAGCATCTTTATACTCCACATGGATTGGTAAAGAAAATGATGCCTTACCACGTTTTCTTCTGCATTATCAGCATCGCTAGCTCTCTCATCAGTACAAGGCCTTTCTACAGGAAAAAAAAAAAAAAAGAACTTAAAAGCAATGATTTGCAAACACTAAAATTCTCTTCGATTCCTATCTCAATATAATTACTAGAATCATCTTAGTTACTCCCTCTTTTATGTCTTTCTTTTAACAATCAACATTAAAAATACATTCAGTGTAAAAACACATCCTCAGAAACAGCAGTCAATTTGTACGGTTGATTTAGGTGCTCCAAAGGGGGCAATAAAGGCAGTTCAACCAGTCCAGCAATTCCTGGCCTTTTAGGATCATTGGCCTGGTTCCTATCAACTGCTAACAGTGGAAAAGTCAAGGCCAAATGGGGGCTGAGAGGAATGGTCAAAGAAAAAGGAATACAATATCATTTCTCAAAGCAGGCCTCCTTTTGGGTTTTCCTAAAATCTGACCCTTTTATGCATATCCTAGACCAAGAGCATTCTAAAAAGAATAATTGAAAAGGGAATTTAAAAATAAAACATATGAATCACAGTCATATAAAACTATGACCAGGGAGCAGGAGATAGGCAAGGTTTTGAGGCTTTTTGTATAACAGCTTCAAATATATTTCCAACCCATCTAACTGTAGAACTATAGACTATTCTTGTTTTTTTTTTTAAGTGGCCAATATTGTCACATAGTTTCTGCTCATATGTTCTGACGGCTCCTCCAAAACCAGAATCCATTCTTTTCTTTGCCACGGGAGGCTGACCTGAGTGGGCTGTATCAGCAGGGCGTTGGTTCCCCCTGGCTTCTTGTCGGGCTGGAAATCAGAGAGAGGGAAGAGTGAAATCTAATATCTATTCTCCCAGCTCCTTCCTGCAAGGTTGCCTCAGTCTGGCTGTGTCCTTCAACTGAAGGTCACTCTCCATACAAGGCAACTAGTTTTACATGATTCAAGTTTTGGGACCTGCTCCGTGTCCTTGACCCTTCGAGTTTAGGTTTGCTAGTAAGACAAGTGATCTTAGCTCTGAGGGATGTACTGTCTCCTGACTTCTCCTTTGTTCGGTTCTGAGTGTGCACTTTCTGTTGGGAACAGACTTATGCAAACTTCTGTTATAGAAACAAAACTATCATTCTTGCTGGCCATAGTGGCTCACATGTGTAATCCCAGCACTTTGGGAGGTAGAGATGAGAGGATTGCCTGATCCCAGGGATTCGAGACCAGCCTGGGCAACTTGGCAAGACCTTGTCTCTACAATAAATAAAAGAAATTAACTGGGCCTGGTGGTGCACACCTGTAGTTCCAGTTACTTGGAAGGCTGAGACAGAAGGATCACCTGAGCCCAGGAGGTCAAGGCTGCAGAAGCTGTGAGTGTGCCACTGTACTCCAGTCTGGGCGACAGAGTGAGAATCCGGAAAACAAAAACAAAAACTGAACTATCATTCTTGAGCAGTTTGTTGCATCCCCTCTCCCATCATTTGAACATAACTCAATCACAACGTATTGAATTGATCATGATATTAGGTCAAGCATTTACCTGTGAGACAAGCTATACTGCCTGCAACCTCTTACTACTTCTGGCTAGCTAAAGGACAGAAACTAGCTTTCCTATTAGTACAAATGATCACAGGGTTAGAATTGGTGAAAGTGTGCTTGCTGTTGTCCTGAAAACTATCTTCAGGCTGAGTATGGTGGCTCATGCCTGTAATCCCAACGCTTTGTAGGCTGAAGCAGGAGAACTGCTTGAGCCCAGAAGTTCAAGGTTGCAGTGAATCATGATTGCACCACTGTATTCCAACCCAGGCAACAGAGCAAGGCCTGGTCTCTAAAAATAAAAATAATTAAAAATTAAAAAATAATTACAAACAAATAAAGTTTTATCTTCAATAATGGTTTCTGTTGTAAACAAAATCTCCTAACTTCAGTAGGGACAAGAGGCAAATATCAACCAGAAGAACATGCAAAAGGAACATGGGGTCTACTTCAACTTCCAGGACACCCAGAGCCTTATCAGGGGAGTGACAGATTAAGGGAGAGCTTCTGGAGCTCTAGGCCTACACCCACGACTAGCTGACTGGGTGACCTAAGGTGGTGTACATAAATATTTCACATGCCTACTTAGCACTTGAGCCAACCTCCTGGATTCCTGATCTGTAAAATATGGAGATAAACTAGATCAAAATTTTCCCCAAATCCCTTCCTGCTCAAAATTCTGTTAATAAAAGCAAAGTATTTAAAAATATCCCACGACCATGGCATCTTATTTTAAATTACTATAAAAGTACAGGTTGGTTGCATAAACTTTATTAAAAAATTTTACTTAACAAAAATTAAAATAAAATTACCCATATGGTCAATGCAGTTTTGATCAGCACCAACCATAGACTAAGTTCAGAGCAGGAGAGAACAGGGCCTGGGGACTTAAGGCTGGACGTGAGCTTCCTTCAGCGATTTGAGGATGAGGAGAAGCCACGGTGCCATCACTCCAGAGGCAACTTTTTTTTTTTTTTTTTTTTTTGATTTGGAGTCTCACTCTGTCGCCCAGACTGGAGTGCAGTGGCTGCTCCCGGCCACCGCAGCCTCGACCTGCTGGGCTCCGGCGATCCTTCCAACTCAGCCTTCCAAGTAGCCGGAATTACAGGCATGCGCTACTACGCCCGGCTGATTTTTTTGGTTTATTGTAGAGATGAGGTCTTGCTGCCCAGGCAAAGGCAACTTTTTAAAGCTTCAGCTTTTAAAATTTTCAGCTAGTTTTCAATGCAGGATGACTGAATCATCCTGTTTATCATTTTAATGCCATATTAAGATGTTTATTTTTTATTAAAGAAAAGGTGATTTTCAATTAATTGAATTAATTCTTCTATTATTTATTGGAAATAGAAAAATGGGAATAATGAATGTGCTTTCATACAGTTTGGTGTGCCTTTGATCTTTTAACTCAAGATACATTCTGGAATGGCTAGTTGGAAAATTGGAGCACTTTAAAAGATTTTGAATTAATCATGTAAACAACTCTCCAGAAAATTCAGATCTATTTACATGCCTAGTAGCAGTGTGTTTCCATATTATCTTTAATCCAGTATGTGGAACTCCCAGGGGTAGAGCCCAAATTCTTCATGAGACATTACCTGTGCTGCGATTGCAACATCTTTTACAGATTATCACAACTGCCAGAAAAAGCACCAAAAGCAGGAAAAGTAGGTACCAATAATTGGTGTTTTGGTTTTGTTCTAAAAAAACAAAGAAACAAAGTCTGTGAACTGAAAGAAAAATTACCAAATAAGAAAAGGAAAAGTGTGGGCGGGTGGAGGCAAAGCATGTTTACAGCTTCTAAAACTAGTTATTTCTGCATTGCAGGTAGGACATAGAATTCATATGAAAACAGTTTGCCTAATGAAAAGATCCTTTAAAGTTAAAGCCAAGAGCTCAGTCTGGACAGGAGAGTTTGTCATGAGTGTAAATATTTCCCAGTTTCAGTGTATCTCTTGTGGGAAACCTATAGATGCTGTAATATCATTGGAAGCCGGGCTCGGTGGCTCAGCCTGTAATCCCGCACCTTTGGGAGGCTGAGGTGAGTGGATTGCCGGAGCCCGCGGGTTCGAGACCCGCCTGGGCACCGAGACCTCATCTCTACAATAAATAAAAAATCAGCTGGGTGTGGTAGCGCATGCCTGTAATTCCGGCTACTCGGAAGGCTGAGGAGGAAGGATCGCCAGAGCCCAGCAGTTCGAGGCTGTGGTCTGCGGGAGCGGCCACTGCACTCCAGTCTGGGCGACAGAGTGAGACTCCAACTCAAAAAAAAAAAAAAAAATATATATATATATATATAATTGGAGACTGGTTGGGGTGGGGAGGAAGAAAACAGAAAACTGGAGAGGCCATAAGTCTATTACGCATTTTAATTTTCTATTGTTTTATATTATAAGAAACTTAACACATTTTTAGAAGGGAATAATTATGACCATAAACTAGCCTCAGCCCAGTGTTCACAAGTGGAAGAAGTGAGGGTACAGCCCACCTTTGCCTTAGAGAAGACTGTGTCCTAAGGGAATAGTGATAAGATGTTCAGAGGTGACAAAAGGTGCTTAGTAAAGCATGGTCTTGAGTTAGAAGTGACAGGTGACCACAGGGATGACATACAGCAGTCCCTCTTTATCCATGGGGGCTATGTTCCAAGACCCCCAAGTAGATGAGTGAAACCACAGACAGTACCAAACTATGTATAATATTCATTATTTTCTTTTCCTTCTTCCCAATTTTACAGATAGAAGATTCATTCTTACTGTAGATCTTAGCAACCTCAGCATATAACTTTTTTCTTATTGAGAACTTTCTTCTTTTCACTTAAAGCATTTTATAGCTTCTGTTTGACATACCTGAATTACCAGCATCACCATTCTTGTGCTTTAGCGTCACTCTTAAGTATAGTAAAATAAGGGTTACTGGAACACAAGCACTGAGGTACCATGACAGTAGACCTACCTGATAACAGAGACAGCCACCAAGTGACGAATGGGTGGGTGATAGCTACAGCATGGATACACTGGGCAAAGGCAGGATTCATGTCCCAGGTGGAACGGAGTGGGACGGCATGGGATTTCATCATGCTACTCGGAATGGCACACAATTTAAATTTATAAGTTGCTTATTTCTGGAACTTTCCACTTAAAAGTTTCAGACTGTGGTTGACTTTGGGTAACCAAAATAAGGGAGGACCTTCTGACAGTGTTTGGAGCTTTCTAAGAATAATTAGAGGAGCCTAAACTTTCTTCAGCATCTTAGGACTAGAATTGTTGAAGCTGGTATTAATGGAAGTGAGGACCTCAGAAAGCAGAAATTTGGAAACCCTGGGTTACTCTGATAATCTTGTGATCTATGTTCTACTAAACAGTGGAGAGTGAGCATTTGCACACACACACAGGTCAATTCAGTGGGAAAAAAATGTTTATGGCTATTCTTTAAAATGGATAGCTCCACTTACATAACAAATGTCAATTTTTATAAGCATACTATTAATTATAAAGTAAATGATGTTTTGTGACCAATAAGCTATTCATCTCTCCCCATATTTGTGCCATTCTAAAATTCTATACAGTAGTTCCCTCTCAACCACAGTTTTGCTTTCTGAGGTTTCAATTACCTGTGGTCCAAAAATATTAAATGGAAATTTTCAGAAATAAACCACAAGTTTTAAATTGCATACCATTCTGAGTAGCGTGATGAAATCTCATGCCCTGGACATGAATAATTCATTTGTCCAGTGTCTCCACTCTCTGTTACTTAGTACTCTACTGTTTGTTAGTCACTTAGTAGCCATCTCAGTTATCACATCAACTATACTGGTATTGCAGGCCTTGTGTTCAAATAACCTTTATTTTAGTTAAGAGTGTCCTCAGTGCACAAGAATAGTGATGCTGGCAATTCAGATATACCAGTGAAAAACTGTGAAGTACTGCCTTTAAGTAAAAAGGTGAAAGCACTCAACTTATGGGGGAAAAAAATCATACGTTGAGGTTGCTAAGGGGTATGGTAAAAATGAATCTATTATCTGTAAAATTGTGAAGAAGGCAAAAAGAAATTTATGCTAGTTTTGCTCAAACTGCAAAAGTGATGGCCACAGTACATGATACACGCTTAGTTAAGACGGAAAAGGTATTACATTCATGGATGGGAGACCCAAAGAGAAATGTTTTCCGATTGGAGGCAGTGTGTTACACTAGAAAGCACTGAGCCTCTACAAAGTCTTCAGCAAGGGCTTCCCTAAAACAAGTGACACCAAACCACTTGCTGCAGGCAAGGGATAGTCACACAGATTCAGGAATAGGTTTGGACTGAAAAATATAAAAAATACTGGAGAGGTTGCCTCGCCAAGAAGCTGCTGCCATATTTCCAGCAGAGTTGAAGAAGTTGATTAAGGAGAAAAGACACTATTCAAATCAAGTCTTAGTGGGACAGGGAAGTGGGATTGGCAGTAGTGGGAATCTGCTTGGGGAAGTGGGGGCACACCTCATCAACAAGAGTACCTGAGTAATAAACATTTGTACACCTAACCCTGAATTGTACCCCAAATCTTTAAAATAAAAAAGTAAAAGTTAAAAAAACTCAAAAAACAAATCAAGTCTTCAGTTGCAATGAAACTGAACTTTTCTAGAAGATGTACCCAACATTCATAAAGAACCTACATTCACGAAAGCACAAAGGAAGCACAAGGGCATTGGAACATTGGAGGGACAGAGAGACTCTGATACTATGTGGCAATGCATATATAGAGCTTGATACTACCCATAGTTTCAGGCATCCACTAGGGTCTTGAAGCATACCCTACTTGAATAAGGGACTGGGGGAGGGGGGGAACTATGTATCTAGGTAAAGAAGAGATGAATTAGAAATGTTAGACTGATTATCTAAAGTGTTTTCATATGCATCTTTCCTTCCTGAAAACCATGCAAGTTACAGCTGCTTGACTTTCAGGTTCCCCATCTGTAAATATTTTTCCAATATCAGATATTAACTCAGCAGCAAATTTTAGCAATAACTATTTAATTCCATTCAGTTCTGTGCAACCTTAATTGAGATTTAGGTTCTAGGAATCATAAGTCCCCTGATCTTGGTCTGCTTTTCAAACGTGTTTAGCAAGGCAACAAACAAAAAATTGCAATTCAGAATGGAAAACCAAGTTTCCCTGAAGGGTGATGTTTGGGGTACTGTTTGCTCTGTTCTCTGCCTTGCTAGGGTGGCTTCAGCCACAAGCCTCTTCCTAGGGGGAAATGCAGACAGACCCTCTTCCAGTTTCAACTGGCCGCCAGGGTTTACTTGAGAATAAGAGGTTCTGAAAAGGCTCTTTTCTTTGCCAGAGAGAGAATAGTCCTGATATCTTACTTTGTATGTGTGAGCTAAAAAGTAGATGTCTGGATAGGTAGGAAGACAGGCCATATGTGGTCTTCAGGATAGTTCTTCCTGATTTTTTTTTTATACTCCAAAATGAATCCAACATGAAGCAACATTTTTAAAAATAGATGACAGGCATAACTGTATTTTACATAAAACAGACACTCTTATGAACCTCTTAGAAAACTAGGAGCCTCAAATGCATCTCCAGTTTTTCATTCTATAATCTCAAAGTGGCAGCTCTACAAAGGAAGTGTTATCACTCAGTGTCTAAAAACTTCTATCATTGTAAAGGCCATATAACCTAAAGACAACTCTGTGCTTTTATCTCCAAATCTCAGTACATAGAATCACCAAACCTTGAAATCTATTATTCCTCCTAATTTTCACAATGGAATGATAGCGATATTTCTAAAACATATATTCCACAGATTCAAATATCTTTATTAAAGGGTGGAAAGAAAGTTTCCATGGTCTCCCATGATGTGAATTGGTAACTTAGGGGTGGGAACCATTCAACTCACCTAGAAAGTCAGCTTAATGAGCACACATTCCATGGCCCAATGGTTAGTTGACTAGAAAAATTTTAGATAACGAATTTTTCCCGTTAACTGTCAGCAGAGATACACATAATCTGAATCAGAAAGAAACTTAATATTTCAACATTGTGTGGTAACTATTTCCACCAAGTTCATGATCAGTGCTGTATTTACCCAGCATTCAGCAGGACCCCAACTTTAACTTCCTACTGTGTCTCTAGCCTCAACTTTCAAAACCCCAGGCGTAAAGAAAACATAAGGCACAGTGGTGGGCAGAAATTTAAGATGCTCAGCCCATGGAGTCATCAAAATATATAGGTTTTTCCTCTCCGTTTCTGAAGCCCTAAAACCCTGAAAAGAAAATTTGTAGTATTTTTTTTCCCAACATAGGACTTTTGTGTGGTTGAAGTTGGGAGGGTTATCTGCGTTCTGACCAGAAATGTTCCTGTAGATAACATTTTGAGAAGTACTAACATATTATTTAAAAGCCAACCTAATGTTCAGTTTGACATTCACAAGCCTCTACTGCTGTAACCAAAACCCATTATTCAAACCTACTTGCAACTTACCGACATGCAGTGTGTGAATGGTGAGTAAGGTAGATTTGCTCGAGGAAATATTGCATAAATATTGCCCACTGTCTGAAAGACTAAGATGTGTCAAAGTCATAGAGAAGTCTCTCTGGTTTATTAGCTCATTGTTCCATGAGAATCGAGATTCGTTGATAGTTGTGTTTTGTGAGGAGCTCAGATAGTAAGCCAGAAGAGAGGACTTCCCATTTTCTACTCTGGACCAGGTAACTTTGAAGTCTTGGTCTGGTAGAAAATATTCTTTTACAAGTTGACATGAGAGTAAAATGTTTTCATTTTGTTTTTTACGAAGGTCATCTAATAACAGAATAGAAATGGAAATGTCAATGAAGAGAAAAACTTCACATTTTGTAAGTTACACTTAGAAAGCAGGGAACAAAGGCTCTCATATTGATAACTTTGGAAAACAATTTGGTATTTGTGCTGCAAGATTTCTTGGAATCAACCTGGGTGCCCATCAACAGTGCGTTGGATAAAGAAAATGTGGTATATATACACCATGGGATACTATGCAGCCTTGAAAAAAGAACAGAATCATGTCCTTTGCCGCAAGTGGATACAGCTAGTGGCCATTATTCTAAGCAAACTAACACAGAAACAGAAAACTGAATACTACATGCTCTCATTTATAGGTGGGAGCTAAACACTGAGTATACATGGGCGTAAGGATGGGAACAACTGACACTGTGGACTCCTAAGGGGGTAGGGAGGGGGAGGGGCAATGGTTGAAAGCTACCCACTGGGTACCATGCTTGCCATTTGGTAAATGGAAGCCCAAACCTCACCATCACACAGCATGCCCGTGTAACACACCAGCACATGTATCCCCCTGGAGCTAAAACAAAAATAACTTAAAAAGAAAAGCTTTACTACCACTATTTTAAAGTTTCCCACCAAGATTGATTTAGGCCTTTAGGGAGGGCTAAGCCAAGGCCACCTAGGGAAGTGATGGCCCTAGGTTTTAACTCCTACAACCTGACAGAAAGTACTCAGGAATATTGCTACCAGTCACTCGCCTTTTCAACTCAAGGGTCCTCCTCTGTTGCCCCTTAAGTGTTAGTGTTCCCCAGGACTTCTCTTGTTACCCTGCCTACTTACTAGTGGTCTCTGTCACTTTTATGGTCTCACTACGTCTTAATCTCTTTATCTAGACAAAATCTCTTTTCCTGCACATCAGAACATTTCCAACGGTGCACAGGTAACCCCCACCGAACTGAGCCTATTTGGAGAGGGATGCTGCTAGGGAATCTTGGATTGCCCCTCAGACCTGGCTTCATCTTGTCCTTCCTGTTTGAGAGGCTGATCGCTATCTATGGACTGCCAAATGTTGCTCTCCTTGGCTAGACTTGCCCGTTTTCCAGTCTACCTGCGGGACAGGGAGGCCAAAGCAAGCCTTCTAAATTGCAACTTCAGGGTTTCTCTGGTGTTTCAAATCCTTCCTTGGATCCATCCTGCCTCCAGGACCCAACAAGCTCCTTAGCAAGGTGTAGAAGATCTTTTATTTGTGTTTTCCTCTTTCCAGGAGCATCTCTTGATCTTCTAGTTTCACCTTCAATCGCCTTATACATTCACAAATCCAGGCAGTTTCACTCCTCTGTGCATTTGACTTGGAATGTTCTTCCGGAATGTCTACTACTCTTCCAACTAACTCTGCCCTGATGTAACTTCCTGAAGCACGTATTCTATAACAACCCTGTTCATGCACAACCACAGAATTAATCACTCCCTTTGTATGCTACATTCCTCATTTAACTTTATTTGCATGGGTTTGTACTAGATTCTGTGGATCCAGAAATGAGTAAGAGGCCATGTTCTTAAGTTCACAGTCCAAGAGCAAAAAAGCTTGGCACATAAACCTTCTCAACAAGACAAAGCAGTATTGAACCTAAGAGACTACTGGTGCTTCAGGACACTCAATTCTGAATAAACATGAGAAATTATGATTTTCCAGAGAAAATATTTACAATCCAATATTAACATTTTCAACCCTTATCCTTGTTTCCTTTGCTGCCTGACTAATGAAGAATGAACATTGAGTGCTCATGCCTTTAACACTGAACTCATAAATGTAGTGAATCACTCACAGTTTCAGTATTTTGGGGTGAGTATTTTGAGAACATATAACCCTGGGGAAGAGAAGGCTGAAAAAAATAGCTAACCTCCATTTTTCCCACATATGAGAGATTGACAGAACATTTTTGCTTTGTTACTAATAAAATACAAAACAAGGGACCAGCCCAGGCAAATTGACAAGACCTTCTCTACAAACAAAACAAAACAAAACAATTTCTTCAACTCGGATAAGGAGAAATCAAATTAATTTTTCTTCCTCTTAATATTTTCTTAAACAGTAGGTTATAGACACAGAGATGGATCAGAGTTTGGATTTGTTCAAATAAATGGAAGGAAGAAATGTTAAAACTGATCATGCTGTGACAGAGGTATGAATAAAGATTAATGAGCTAATACTACTATGTAAAGAGATTAAACAGAAGTAATCATACTCATAAGTTAATATGTTGTTTAATTGAAAGATTGGGAAGAATCGGAGGTTGTGACCAGCTAAGAGACAAGTATTCCTTCCTCCTTCTCTGATCTTTTACAATACATTGTGGGCCGGGCTCAGTGGCTCAGCCTGTAATCCCAGCACTTTGGGGTTGAGGCAAATGGATTGCCTAAACCCACAGGTTTGAGACCAGCCCAGGCAACTTAGCGAGACCTCGTCTGTACAAAAAATTAAAAAATTAGCCGGGCAGGTAACGCGTGCCTGTAATTCCGGCTACTTGGAAGGCTAAGGCAGAAGGATTGTCACTGTTCTCTAGCCTGGGCGGTGGAGTAAGTCTCCAACTCAAAAAAACCCACAAAACTACAGTGTGGATGACCCATAGAGAAACACAGTCATATCCATAGATAGATTTGCTTCTTTCCATTTCGTAAATGTTTTCATGCAACTCATAAATACCTCACAAGGTATTTATCAATGAGGAACTAATGTTCAGAAGGGAAAACAATGGCTTAAGGTAATACAGCCAGTGAAGATTTGCCCTGGGACCCCAATCTCAGTCTTCTAACTGCTACAGATGGATTTGTTTTCCTTGCTCTTTCCTTCTATTTTTGGTAACCCAATCCTGGTTACGTCCCAACCCCTGACATAGCGCTTGTATACAGAAAGCCCTGTGGAGCCCACCTTGCATTGTCCAGTGCCCTGTCCATGTTTGCTTCAGGAGTGAATTTTCAACTGCACATTCATAAGATGAATTTAATTCTGTAATATTCAGTGTACTGCTAATAGAAAAAGGACCCAAAGACTCGGTTTCTTCCATATCGCTTTCAGGGATAGATGTGTTGTCCATTTTCCACTTGATAATTGGATGAGGATAAACACTTGACACACTGCATAGTAAGAAGTAGTTTGTATTCTTCTTTTCATACTTTATCATGGGCATAAGGAAAGCTGTGTGGGAGAAAAAAGAATACGTGAAGAACTGCCATCATTAGGGTCTTATAGGTCATCTGGGCAGAAGAATTTTTTAATACCCATGAAATGAAAAGCTAAGTTTTATGGGCAAAACTTGGCAATTCCTGAAAAGAAAAAGACTCCATAGAACAGTGTGGTTATCTAGAAGGAATAAAAAGCAAGCATGGGTGTGTGGCAACCAGCAACCTCCATTCTCTAGAAACATAGCTGGAAAGGAAATCTAATGACCTCACTGAGCAACCAAACTGAGGGTGTCAAAGTCTATAGACTATAGTTCACAGAGCATTCTAAACTCCTCAGATACTGATTCAGAGTGCCAGTTTGACTCTTTGCTTACACATAACTTTTAGACTTTGGAATCACAGTCTGAAGTAGCTAAATGGGACAGAGGAAAAAGGAACAATTGCTGGATAAACAACCTATTAGAAAATACTGCCCATATATATGAGCAAAACAAAACTGTACTGGGTATTATGCTACATACTAACCATATTACAGATGTGGGGGGACCCAAAACCCAGAATTATCTTTTGGAGGGCCGGCTTCCCTCACTAGGTAAGTGTTCTAGGACCCATCGGTATCAGTGTACCAGCTAGCATTGTTGTGAGAGGCTGCATTCAGTGAATTTTTTTTTCTGCTCCCGGCCACCACAGCCTCGACCTGCTGGGCTCCGGCGATCCTTCCACCTCAGCCTTCCAAGTAGCCGGAATTACAGGCACGCACTACCATGCCAGCTTGAATTTTTGATTTATTGTAGAGATGAGTTGCCCAGGCGGGTCTCGAACCCACAGGCTTAGGCAATCCACTCACCTCAGCCTCCCAAGGCACGGGATTACAGGCTGAGCCACCGAGCCCGGCAAGATTGATAATATTTAAAAAGGATAAGACTGGTAGAAACTGGACACTCTTATGCTGCTAGTGTCAGTAATGCATTAAAATCTTACTTCTAGTACATTCCTTTCAGATTATTTTCCAATATTAAGCATAACTGTAAGGATGTCCATCACAACATTCTAATGTAAAATACTGAAATGCCTGAATACCCACCAACAGGGGAATGGTTGTATCAATTATGACATGTATAGACTCTGAGATACTGTGCATTAAAAATAATGAAGTAGGTTTGGATGTGTTGACTTAGAAAGAAGCCCATTGCATATTAAGCTAGACAAAAGATATTTACTAAATACTCAGAGTGATGTCATTTCTATGTTTTATAAAATCTTCATACGTACTCACCTCCCACCTTCAGCACCACTTTGTTTATAATATTTTTAGCTGCTGTTCCTACATAGCAGGTATAAATCCCTTCATCCAGAAGGCTTAATCTTTTGAAAGAAAGAGAGGCATTCCCATTGTGAATCTCACTGTGGAACAGGAATGTCCTGTTTGTGTATATGGAATTTTGCCTTTCCAATTGATCACTGTCTTTGTAGTAACTGTGAACATTGTGGGTATCCTGATTCTGCCAATGAATTACGACTTCAGATCCACTCTCAAATGAGCAAGGGAGAATTATGTCTTCATCAAGTCTTCCAATGACGACTTGCTCATTCATACTATCATCACTGAAGAAAGTTACAAAGAATGGATCTATAATCAAGAACAGAGAAGTTATGAAGAGAATTAGTGATAGGAGCTTGTCAAGGATTATATCAGAACTACCTAGAAGAACCTTCCTATGTTAGCAGCCTGATCATTAACAGACTGCATCATTAAAAACCCTTGGTAGTCTGATTATGAAGACACAAGCTATTGAAGCTTGAGTTTCTTCAATTTTAATTGATTACCTGTTTTTATTCAAGGTAACAGTGACAATTGGCAACAGCCCAAAGCATAGAAACATTGGTTTGTTACCCACTTGATTAATAATCTTGTCCCTCTTCCAATCCTGGCTGCTTCAGTGCTGGAAATGATGTATATGAAAGACTTCTGTTGATTTTCATTCCCAGAATACATTCATTTTTAACACCTTCTACAACAATAATAAATTAGTTTATTCAGCTAGTTAGAGCCAGCAGGCTCTAAAAGACTGGAACAAACTTAGCTTGCTTGGGTCAGAAAATATTTGGAGCATGTAGAAAATAATGCCGAGTTCAGGAACCTGTTAGGAATATCTGTACACTGGTTCCAAGCAGGGAAAGACACAGGCAGGAGGAGTTCAAAGGGGACACAGAGCCTCATTAACTTTGACTTTAGATCACTCTCAGAATATCCCATGAGCCAATCAAAATATAGGTAGCAATCTTATTCTGGATAAAACTGTGGAAGTCCCATCCCAATCTTTCTTCCTTTTTTTTTTTTTTTTTTTTTTACTGTCAACTTCAGAAGTTGATTTCAAAAAACAAATTAAACACAATAAGTTTTTTTGCAAAAAAACCATAGAGTTTATATACATATATAATACATTTTATATACACATATATACCTAGTTATATAATATCATTGATGGTAATATCCAGCAATTTACAAGATATCTTAAGTAAAGCTTATGCCCTCTCTATGAATTCTAAGATATTAGGAGGAAGAGACCCTATTTTTTTGGACAACAGGTGAACTCCTTTGGACCTAGACCAAGGCCATCCAAATCAGGAGAACTGAGTACCCAAGTGGCCCTGCCACAACCTTTTTCCTCTGCCACCCCCCGCCCCAGGGCTCTTTCCACCCTATTGCGTCCCACCTCTCTTCCTCAGAGAGATTTAGTTTTTCTGCAGAGAGCTAGAGGGATGTGATGTTATGCTGACAGAAAGGCACAGAAAGGTGGGAAAGGAAAGGGGTGATTGTCGGCCTCCCTAATTGCTCTTCTAAACCCCTCTAATATTTCACTGGATAATTAAGAATGTCTGCCACAGGACCCAACACAGCTGATAACGCCTTCTGTCAAGTGTTAAGCATCAAGCTCACACTAAAAAATAAAAACTGTCAATCAAACTTGCCTTTCTAGTGATTTCATTTCTAAAATCTGGTAGCAGCTAACAGATTAGAAAGAGCCTTAATCAGAGTAGACAGAAGAAAACACAGCTTTTAAATCTCCATGCAGATTCCCAGTCTGTTCTCTGTTTCATATTAGCTGGTCATTAAGGAAAGTTTATAACACTATGGCTACGGAGGAAACAGCTACCTTGCACTGTGTTATAAGTATCCAAGGATACTTAAAATCACCACTTGTATTATTTAAAAAGTTACCTTGAGCCTGGCTCGGTGGCTCAGCCTGTAATCCTGCGCCTTTGGGAGGCTGAGGTGAGTGGATTGCCTGAGCCTGCGGGTTCGAGACCCGCCTGGGCAGGCGAGACCTCATCTCTACAATAAAATTTAAAAAATTAACCGGGCGTGGTAGCGCGCACCTGTAATTCGGCTACTTGGAAGGCTGAGGCAGAAGGATCGCCGGAGGCTGCGGTGGCTGGGAGCGGCCACTGCACTCCAGTCTGGGTGACAGAGTGAGACTCCAATTCCAAAAAAACAAAAACAAAAAAGTTACCTTGAAATCCACTCCAAGACGGTATGAGAATGAGGAAGAAAGACAATATTGCTTGTGCTTTCATGTCTTGTAGAGGTCATATTAGTTATGCTAGCAAAGAAACAAAATACACACGTTATGGATTTTAATTGCAAAAGGGAGTTGAAAAAGAATTATAGTGTCTGACTACAGGAGATTATTTAAACTATGGCATGTTCACACACATAATTTTTTGTAGCCATTAAACATGATTTTGTAAAAGATGGTTCAATGACGTGGCAGGAAATTCTTAATTGGCTATGGGAGAAAAATCAGATTACAATACAACTTCTGAATAGCATCGTCCCTTTTTTAAAAGTACATGCATCTCTGCACATAGGACACCAACAAGACATAATGACTATACACCAGGTGACTCAATATACGCTAGGATGCTAACTCAGAAGAGGTTTCACATTAGAAACAATGTCTGCCATATAATAGGTACTGAAACATGGCTGTTGAATGAATACAGATTTGGTATCTATACATTCACAGGGCTTTTCTGGATAATAGTTTTTATTATTTTTAAAGTTTTCTACAAGTCAGGCATGGTGGCTCAGGCCTGTTATCCTAGCACTTTGAGAGGCCAAGGCAAGAAGATTACTTTGAGGCCAGAGTTCAAGACTAGCCTGAACAAGATAATGAGTTCTTTCTTCTCTCTCTCTCTCTCTCTCTCTCTCTCTCTCTCTCTCTATATATATATATATATATATATATATATAAATTAAAATGAAAAGCTTTCTTACAATGGACATGTATTGCTTTTATAGTAAAAATTTATAGTAAAAATTACTAAAACCAGCCGGGCTCGGTGGCTCAGCCTATAATCCCACACCTTTGGGAGGCTGAGGTGAGTGGATTGCCTGAGCCCACGGGTTCAAGACCCGCCTAGGCAGCGAGACCTCATCTCTACAATAAATCAAAAAATCAGCCGGGCGTGGTAGCGCGCGCCTGTAATTCCGGCTACTCGGGAGGCTGAGGCGGAAGGATCGCTGGAGCCCAGCAGGCGAGGCTGCAGTGGCCGGGAGCGGCCACTGCACTCCAGTCTGGGTGACAGAGTGAGACTCCAACTCAAAAAAAAAAAAAAAAAATTACTAAAACCAATTTTAATTCAATACAAAGTGCCAATGGTATGAACTATGGTGCTATTTATATTTTATTCTTTTTATTTATGTCTTTTTCTTCTATTTTTTACTTTTTTGTAAAATCCAGTTTTAACTATAGTGCTATTTATAATCACACATTAAGAACAATTAAAAACTGAAAATATATTCTTAAATGCCCAATAATAGTGCGAGCCATTAAGTTCCTGGTTTACAAAGAGGGTTTCATAAGCTCAAAAAAGTGAGAATATACAAATGTACATGGACAACACAATATAGTTTCAAGTAAGTAAAATATAACTGATTTTCTCTGGTGATGGGATTACAAATAATTTCTACTCTTTAAGAAGTAGCTTGTTTAAAGAATAGCATATAATTGGTTTTAAAACCTTAAAAGAAAGTGTTAAATAAATCATTTGGAAGTGCTACAATTACAAGAATGCATTCTATATTTGTTGTGGAATAGAGATTTAAGAATGATTAAAACTATCCAAAAGCATAAAATAAAATTCCTTTATTACATCCTACCAAAATAAAACCTGGTAGATTAATAGTTTATAGTCACAATTTTTACATTTTAAAGACTAGAAGAAAATCATGGATTATAACACCTTGGAAAAGGGCCTGTTTAGCATGACTATACATTTTCTATTATTGATATATATCTATGTAAAAAATTAGAAAAGCAACAAAAACAAATATTAAGATATAATAAATAAGAAAAACATTTGCAGTATGGTAAAGTTATAACTACAATAGCTTTCATTTCTCTTAGAGCAATAGCTAAAATATTTGGTAAAGTAAAAACTGCTGGAAACTAGTATTGGTTATCAGAATTAAGACCTTTACATATTTCTTCCTATAGATGTACTTGCATGTGTAATCTGTGAAAGGATATATACCATAATAATTTTCTGTGAATAGTAAGATTATAAATAATTGTTAATTTTTTACTATGAAATATGTAATCATATAATTTTTGTCTCTATAGGTCATTAAAAAAACTAAAAATTTAATCACAATCTCTTTCTAAGCAAAAATTAACTTAAATTCACCTTGTTTAACATAATTTTGAAACATTCCATGTCCACTGTCCTGCTGTAGGTTTATGTTCCCCTGCCCCATAATGACTTCAGTATTTGCTGCTTTCTCCTGAAATTTCCAACATCTTTTTTCCCAATCTCCCTTTCAGATGATGTTCTTGCTTCATTAACTAGCTGTGACAATGGACACCCCCTCATCTTCCCATCACCAATTCAACCAACCCATTTACAGCTGAGTCCACTCTTTCTGCCTCCCCTTCTAGTCTTACCCAAGGCCAACCCTTCATTGTGCTTTGCATCTCACACATTTTTTGCGTTCAACAAATTCATCCCTGCAACTGCATTTCTTTGCTACTGCGTCATTGGGATCTCTCTCTCTCTCCTTCCCTCCCTCTCTCCCTCCTTCCCTCCCTCCCCCCACCCCACCGCTAGATCAATTCCATAAGCATAAATGGTGCTTAATTCCATGAGCATAAATGGTGTTGCTTCCAATACCACCCATCTTAGGAACATGAGAAGAAACAAAAATTCTCCTCTGACTCTTGATTAGCTATCTACCTATTTCTCAACTCTGTTGTCTTGAAACAATTATCTAAATAGCTATCCCCACTTCCTACTTTACAATCTCCCTTCAATCCAACTCTGGGCTCCTATCTGCATAACATGTCAAAAATTGCCCTTGTCTGTCACCAAAAACACCAAAACAGTGATATCATTTTGTCCTTATCTTATTCAACCTTATCTTACAGCAGTGTTCAACACAATTGTCTGTTACCTTCTCTTGTTAAGCATCTTCTTTTGGTTTCTAGAACACCATATTCTCCTAGTTTTTCCTTTTTCACTGCTGTTTCTTCCTTGTCCTTTACTGGTTGTCTTCTGCTTGCCTTATTTGTGTGGAAATATGGAATGTTCCCAGTCCTCCTGCTTTTTCTATACCATCCTGTAATGTGAGTTCCTCACTGTGGGAGAGGGACTGTAGAAGAGCTCTGAATGTCATCTGTATGATAAGGATTCTCAAACTTACATACTGAGTAGAGGTCATTTACTCAACTGCTCATTTGACCTGATCACTTCAATGCCCCAAATTAACATAAACCCTTGGTTTCCACCTCATTCCCTTTTTCATTGCTTGGTGCCCCACTCCAACAAAACAAGACAACAATGACTATCCTGTTCCTCTTCCATTCTTCATCTCAATAATCGGTACCAAAATTTTCCAGTTGTTTAGGCCAGAAACTTAGAAATCAATCTTTATGGGTCTGTTCCTTCACACCCCATATCTAATCCAGTTTTTTTTTTTAAATTGTTGTTTGTGGGTTAAACTCCACCATTTGTCCACTTGTCTCCGACACTACTATTACCACCTTTCTCCAAAGCCGCTTATCATCTCTTCCTTGGATATCTGAAAGTAGACATCTGGCTGTTTACCCTTTTCCAATTCTTGCCTCTTTATGATCCAGTCAACACATCAGTCAGGAGTCATATTTTTCAAATATAAGTAACTCTATAACATTCTTTTAATTAAATCCCTCCAGTGGCTTCCTACCACACTCAGAGTAAGATCCAAATTCTTAACTCTAGCATCTCAGTCTTTGCATGCTCTGGTTCCTGGTCCTGCCTGTCCCCAGTCTCTTTCAGAGCAGCCCACAAAATACATTCCAAAAAAACTCATGAACCCGAGTGCTCCAATTCAGGGGTCAGCATGAGCATCAGTTGAAAATTGGGTCCTTGAGGACTATTTAATTCATGTTTTTTGAATAAAATGACAAATTACAGGAATCCACTTATCATCTAAGATAAAGTACTATGAATTTTGAAAAAATACTCAACCTCTTCTACACAAAGGCTGATTTAGTGCTGTTGCAATAATTCCAGCATTCAGCTAAGTGAGGCAGTTAATGAGTATGTGGCCCTATTTTTATGCCTAAGTTTTATTTTTAGACATTTATTTTCTTCCCCCAAAGCAGCAGAAAGCTTCCACCTTGGATTAAACTGAAGTTACCCAAGTTGCAATCAGCATCCTTACAAAAGGGTTCAAATGTGAGAAGCAGCATGTTCTGGTACATTTTGGCTAGATTCCAAATGCAAGGGAGAAAGGCAAAGGCAAGTGGTCTCTGTAATAGAACATGGCAAAAAGAAATACACGTGCTAAGGCCAATCAGACAGAAGAGAAAACTGAAGCCATTTCTATAAGCACAAGCTAGCAAGAACAGAGCAGCTTTCACACAGCCCTCTTAATAGCTACAGACCCAATCAACCACAGCCATCGATACTAATTGTGACAATGGTGATCCAAACATCCCTTGAGGTTGGGACAGATTCTCTAGCCTGCACATTAGTAACACTCAAAACCATTCCACGATGTATATGCACCTTAAAACATCATTATGTCTATGACAAAAACATATAATGTTATCTGACAAAAAAAATAAATAAAAAGACTAGTCCTGACCTCCATCTGGTCGGAACCGCAGAACAAGTCAGTTCTCTTTTTTTGAAAAAAGAAGAATGTTCATCACTGGTATGCCAGTCCCTGAATATTCTGAATTTTTTTGAGGAAAAGCTGCTTTTGGGGTGTTACATTCTCCTCCACTTTTTTTTTTTTTTTTTAATTCAGTGCCTCTCCACAGTGCTCGTGCATACTGTGCCAGTTTGTAAAACATAACTCTACAAAAGGAAAACTCTCTGTAGCATCCTGGGGATTTCTCCTTAGCATCCACTTAGATTTTAATAGGATTGACTTTGTTTAGACAGAGAAAGAACAAAAGAACAATTTTAGGATTACTTTCTCTTTACTCACAATACCTCCCCTGATGTTTTATCATGAAATCCCACCATTGAGGGGATTCATGTATTGGATGGAACTTAGAATCTCTAGGGGTACTGTCCCTGTCTCAGGCTCTGTTGAGGCTTTGGTTCTTTGTCTTCAATCAGGCTAAGAGCATTCGTGAATACATGGTGGGGGAGGGGGCACAGAAGTACAACTGAAGGGCAGGAAGAGTGAAGAAAAGGGGAAGTGACACAAGGAAGAATGGAAAGCAGATGGGGCTTGCCTTGCTGGCCACAGCTCTAGAACAGAAGACAGAGCCACTTGCTCAGTCACACGGGACAGTCTCCAGACGTGCTCTACGGCAGCATCTCTGATCTTTTTGGCAGCAGGAACGGATACAGCGACCCTCTAATGTCTGTCCATATGGTCGCAGCCCCTAGAGAAGGGCATGGCCAGGGCGCAAGCGCTCCTGAACAATATTCCTGAGAGCTAATAAAAGGTGTGCTTCCCGTATCTCCTATGCACTCTCAGTGAGTAGCTTCAGGTGATCATTGACTTCCCTGTAGTCTATGCCCCATCAACTGAAAGATGCAAATCTCCTTTTACTCCCTTTTTCTGAGTAGCTATAAGTCTGAATAATATAGTATCCATGTAATCGTAAGCCTTGTGAATTATATGACTTTTGTATCAATGTAATCATAAGCTTTGTGATTTGTATAACCTTTGTGTAATGTATGATGCCTTACGCCCTTTACTCTACAGCGAGCTTGATTGTTGCAGCTTGCTGTTGCTGCCAGGCCCTACTGATAAAAGTCACAGGATACCTCTGATACCTGATACCAGGAAGTCTGGACAGAAAAATGTCATTATCGTTAAATGCAGCTAAAACTCAAGTCCTATACAACGCTCTGCTGGTCACATGGCTAATGTATAGGTACCAACAACTCTGGACTATAAAAGTGAACTGTAAAAGCCTAGAGGGGGAGCAGAACCATTTTGAAAGACCTTGAGTCTGGCTCTGCTCTCTGGATTTGAACTCAGAAATAAACTTCTTTCTACCAGTTCCCTGCCGCTTTGATTTGTTGGTATCAAGGTGAGCAGCTGAGTGTTACTCGGACCATAACAGAACCGGTTTTGTGGAAGGAAATTTTTCTACAGATGGGGGTAGGGAAATGGTGGAGGGGATCATCAGACATTAGATTCTCGTAAAGAGTCACACCTAGATCTCTTGCACGTGCTGTTGACAATGGGCTTAGTGCTCCTTTGAGAATTTAATGATTCTGCTGATCTGACAGCAAGAAGGGCTCCACTTGCCCACCGCTCACCTCCTACTATGCAGGCTGGTTCCTAACAGGCCATGAATGGATGTAGGGCTGGGGGTCCCCTACTCTACAGAGCCACACACCTCAAAACAATCCTTCAGAGCAAGAGAACAAAAGAAACTGATCTATAGTTTCCTGTGGTGGTCAAAGTTTCCCCCTAGGGTGTTGACTCCTATACTCTTCCTAGCTGTGCACCTGGCCCCTTGGAACTGCCACCACGTGTGCCATGTCTCACTGTATGGCATTTTAACTGTGTGGCACTTTGGGTGTGAATCTGGAAATACAGGGCAGCAGAAATCATAGTCTTTGTGAGTCTCCTTGGGGTCAGTCTGGACTCTCCAGTTGCTGCAGTTCCCCTGGTGGTAGATACAGTGAAGGACTAGCTGAAGTTGGCCTCCCCAGAGGAGATGAGTCAGCTGGTGACATCTGAAAATGTAGCAATGACATTGGGCCCTGGGCTCTTTTTATTCAACCAGTTGAGGGCCCAGGAGACAAGTAAAGCCAAGAAAGTCTTGGTAGGCTCATAAATTGGGTTCAATAAAAGTAGCTGTTTTTAAAATGCTGTGTATTTAATATCTGATATTTTGCTAATTAGCAGATAGTTAATTACTTAGCTAGATCCCTTCAAACGCATTTCCCAATTTAGTTTTCATGCATGCATTGCTCAGTCGCTGCTACCTGCTTACATAACTGCAACCTTCTTTGGAGGGTTGCCCTTGGATGATGGAAGCTGCGATTCTGGGAGTTATACTCCTTCGCTACTCCCTGCCTTAGTGGTGGCTTCAAGGCAAAAGACATTCTGTGGTCCAGAGGTCCCTTGGGAACCGGCTGAGCTTTCATCTGCAGCCACATTCTTCCTTAGCTTCTTTTTCTGCCTCATCCTGCTTCTCACACTTCCCTACCGGTTTCTGACAAGTAATGAGAACACTCCCTCATTACTTGCCCACGAATCCCCATCTCTGGTCCCCTAGAAGCAGAGCTCAAGACAAAGCACTTATATGGGAAACTACATTACACAGGAGGGTCCCGGGTACTACTCGTGCCTTCAAGGGCCATTTTCCAGCTCAGACTTCAATCATGAAATGTTTCTTCTTGCCAAAAGGGTAGATTATATAATTCTCCTCAGTAGCATTGTACATAAGAAAGAATATAGCTGGACAAAATGGCCTTTTTTTTTTTTTTTAAGCAAAATGCTGCAAAGCCAAGAAAACAGACAAAAGAAATCGCCAGGGTTAACAAGGCAGACAGCAGGCGTTTTGTCAAGCACATAAAAGTGGTGAGCAATTGAACAAGACTCTATTAAATGACGTTAGTGTTGAACATGTGCACATGTAAGGCCAAAGACTTCTTGAAAATAGTCACCTCTCTCTTTAAAAAACGCACTGATAGGTACCCACAGCATACCCCATGCCTCTGGGAAACCAGTTTATTCTTTCTATATACTTCTGCTCTTTCTATACTGTTTTCCCACCAGTTCAGTGTGTTATCATCATCAAATAATTTAACAAAATATTATGTTAACTGATGAAGTGGGAGGCCAAGAAAAAAATTAGTATTTCTTCAATAACCAAGTTGAATAAGATGAATGCTTTGGAAAGGCTGAATAAAAGCAAGTCACACACACACAAATCTGTTATTGGATTAGGTGCGGGAGAGACAATGATAAACAACTGAGAGCAAATTGTAAAGGTCTAGAAGGAGGCGGACTCTTTTGCAACAATTTGAATGTACAGTTCTCTGGCCATTTTCAAGAGACAAAAATCTGGAAATACTGAATACTTCATTATTGATTCAGCTTGTTGTGTCGATACAGACAAATAAAACAGTGGCCCAATACTGAGGACAAGACCTTGACTCCCTCTCCTCTTCCCCTCAAAATAGATGAAGCTTTTATGTTTTAAATTTTAAAAATTCAGAATGTGTCATTTGGATAACTTAAAAAATAAAATACCGGACCAACTACTGGGCCTGATTGTGTCAGATGTAAGGATTTCCACTGAAGTAATGAAAGCTCTAAAATGATATAGTGAACTCTCACCACAGTTCATGGGAGACAAAATTTGTGTCACATAAAGGAGGATTAGAAGTCCATAGATTGGGGTGGGAGGTCAAAGAATTTGAGCCACACAGAAGTAGGAAGCTTCCTTCCTAATGTTGACTTAGATTTAGCACCTAATTCTGATATCAGAATTCTGTCCTATGCTGGTCATGGTTGTTATATTTAACATCTTCTATGGTACAGTAAGTGATATATCCAGTATTCCTCATCCTCTAGTAGGAGATTAACCACTCCCACTCAATCCCTGTGTCATATTTTCAAATCCAAAAGTAAAGAAATCTGCCTTGGATCTATATATCAGAGTGTTGGGGTGAGTGACCCGTAACTGAATATTAGAATCCAAGATTTGGTGTGAAGAATAGGCAAAACTCAATCTTTACTAGACTTATTCCTAACTACATAGACCGTTTAGAGCTTTCATTAAGTGATGCTTTATAATAGACTGCTTTCTGGAAAGTTCTTTTGCCTATGCACACCCGAATTAGTGACTTTCAGTCCTTAGAATTTAAAGTAGTTGCTAACCCGACTAGCAGATACACAAGAATAGAAAGCCTCCTGGCCCAGTTCTGTGTATTCAGCTCAGTGAGTCATTTCCAAAGGACAGTAGTTATCATGTTTGTTTTGTACCCGTGAGTTTTCTCAGAGTCAATTCTGCCAAATAACTTTTGTTTGTAAAGCTCCATTGCTTCAGCCCCGTCTTCTACTCACAACCCATTCCTAAGTTAGAGCCAGTAATCATGCAAGTTCTGAGAAACAATAGAAAATAAAATGCTTCACATTTATGCTGACCTCCTAGGAATCAGGACTGGATTTTTCTTTATATGGTATCCACATACTTCCACTGTCATCCAGCATGTTTCACATCTTTCCTGCCATTAAAAATACACAATGTGAGCATCACCTATGGGTCACAGACTGTACAGGGATGAGTCAGTTCCTAATCTCCGAAAGCTCCATCTGGTACCAAAAGATAGGTGGATTGTGCAAACAAATAAATCATCATCCAGAGACACAGGCAGCAAGGACTCCCACCAGGTGTTGTGGAGGGACAGAGGAAAAACACTTGTGCCTGTTGGGGACAGGGTATTAAGAAAAGCCTCCCATAACATCAGTTTTAACGGACAAGAAGACCCTGGTCAGGAAGGAAGAGTGGAGGAACATCAAGAAGGACAGTTATTCTAGGCGAATAGTAGAACAAAGGTGCAGAAGCAAGAGACAACATATATCCTGTAATATAATTATACCAATCACAGAAACGCAAATCAAAATCATGATAAGATACCATCTCACACCAGTCAGAATGCCTACCATTAACAAGAAAAACAAAAACAGATATTGATGAGGTTGTAGAGAAAAGGGAATGCTCATACAATGTTGGTAGCAAAGTAAGTGAGTTCAGTCCCTGTGGAAAGAAGTTTGGAGATTTCTCAAAGAACTAAAAATAGAATTACCATTCGACCCAGCAATCCAATACTGGGCAAATACCCAAAGGAGCATAAATCATTCTGCCAAAAAGGTATCTGCTCTCATATGTTTATTACAGCACTATTCACAATTACAAAGACCATAGTGGATTTGGATAAAGTAAATGTGGTACATATACATCGTAGAGTACTACACAGTCATATAAAGAATAAAATCATGTCCTTTGCAGCAACGTTGATGGAGCTGGAAGACAAGTGAATTGGGGAAGAAACAGAAAACCAAATACCATATGTTCTCGCTTAAATGTGGAAGATAAACACTGGGTACACATACCATAAAGATGGGATCAACAGATGCTGGGGACTTCTACAGGGGGTAGGAAGGGAAGGGGTAGGGATTGAAGAATTACCTATAGGTACCACGTTCACTACCTGGGTAACAGTTTCAATGGAAGCCCAAACTGTACCATCACATGGTATACTCATATAACATGCACCACCTGAATCTAAAATAAAAATAAAAAATGGAAAACAAAGTACCAATTTGGCCATGTGGAAAAGGCTGGAAAGGTATACAAAGGATAGATCATAGCCAGTCTTGTAAGCCATGCTAGAAAGCTAAAAATAAATTCAGATTTGTGTTTTAGAAAGATTACACCAGTGGGATTATAGCAACTGATTAACAGGGGTTAGCCCATGAGCAGCAACTAAGTAAACGTAATAGGAAACCACTTAAATAAAAACTTTAGTATGAAATGGATAGGATGTGAAAGGGCACAGTAAGAGATACAAGTCCAATGACTCTGCTTCCTTGCTAACAGAACTCCTTTTCTGCCCTGTTGTGTTGCAGGACATAACTACCTCTATCGAAAAGGTCTGAGAAAGTGTCCAGGAAAGGTAAATGAAATGACCACATCTGGCTCAGGATGGAGTAAGAGCCTCTAAATTTGGGACGGGTAGGGTTGGGTTGGTGACTATCGTGAAGCAGAGTTGGGTCTATGGTGAAAAATGGAAGCCAGTCAGAACTCAGTTTTTGTGGAAAT